CCATTACAGAATTAGTTATTTTCAAAGGTAAGCAAGTCACGACGGACATCTTGGGATGCTACATAAAACACTCCAATCTGCCTAAACGTAACATAAACAGCAACATAATGTGATTTAGAATTCTAGGACCCCTTTAACACTTATGTTTCTTCATCTGATGTCTGTTTTTACAACACAACCAAATACAGTAATTGTAGAATTTAAAGTTTGACATGTCCTTTTAAAGAGTTGCTGTAACCTCTAGTTTAGGCCCCAGGCCTCAGTGTTGCTTAATGTTACTTCACAGTAGGAATACAACTAGCTTCGAGCATCTCAACTCAGAATTGCCAAAGATATTAGCTTCACCAAACAACTCGTTCAAATGTGAATCTGAAATGAAAAGGCATTTAGGCTTATGTTTAATGTTCATTCTAGAATATGAATAATTCATTCAATAGGCAGTGTTAGGAAATATGAGGAGCATATTGACAATCACCAGTAATCAGCTTTGATATTCAGTTCCATGGCATATTTTGCATTCTAAGATATTTTTTCTGATATTATTTTATCAAATAAATTCACAGTGTAATGCAAAATTACCTTTGATTTAAATAGTTATTGAAACAAAACACTGATTTACCAACTTCTTAAAAATATACACTAACGGTCAAAAGTTTTTTAACACCACAATTTTTCTAGTTATTTATTGCAGTTAAGTCATTCAAGTACAATGAATAGCTTGAAATGGTAAAACGAAGGTAAGTTTACTCAAAACAGAAAAATTATGAACATTTCAGAATTATACAAGAAGGCCTTTTTCAGGGAACACAGCTGTTCTGCAGCAATGGAGATTGATCAAGCCTTGAAAGCTGGTGCTACTAATTCCCACAGGTGTTCCAACTTTTCTGTATTACTTACAACCCCCTCTGTCTGCATAACAGCAGTGTTGGAACATACTGTGTTACCATACCCTCGTGAGCATCAGTTGAACAGTACTGTACTGCAGACAATAGTGTGTTGCTACAAAAATGATGAGAAAAAGGCAATTAACAATGGAAGAGAGACAGACCATCATAACACTTGAAAATGTAGGTTTTTCCTACAGAGAAATTGCAAAAGAAAGTCAAAGTGTCAGCAAGTACAGTTTCCTTCACCATCAATAAGCCCTCAGAAACGGACAAACTGACAGGAAGAGGTCTGGAAGACCCAAAGCCACAACTGCATCAGAGGACAAGTTTCTGAGAGAACAGCTTGTGTGATAGGCGGCTCACAGGACAACGGCTTCAAGCACAGCTTAATAGTGGTCGTAGTAAGCAAGTCTCAGTTTCAACTGTGAAGAGAAGACTTCGAGCTGCAGGTTTGACAGGATGAGTTGCAGCAAGAAAGCCACTGTTAAGATGTCAGAATTAAAGAGGCTTGCCTGGGCCATGAAACACAGCCATTGGACGACTGGAAGAAGGTATCAAGGACTGATGAATCCAAATTTGATATCTTCGGTTTATCACGCAGGATTTTTGTATGCTGTCGAGTAGGTGAAAGGATGGTTCCACAGTGTGTGGCATCAACTGTCAAACATGGAGGAGGAAGTGTGATGGTCTGGGGCTATTTTGCTGTATCCAGGGTCCATGACATGTACAGAGTGAGAGGCAAACTGAACACAAACGGCTACCACAGCATTCTCCAGCGCCATACAGTACCCACTGGTATGCGCCAAGTTGGTCAGGGGTTCATCCTACAGCAAGATAATCACCCAAAACATAAGTCCAAGTAATGCCAGAACTACCTCAGGAAAAAAGAACAAGATGGTAAGCTTGTAAACCTGGAGTGGCCAGCACAGTCTCCAGACTTTAACCCCATCGAGCTGGTTTGGGATGAACTGGACAGAAGAGTGAAAGCAAAGCAACCTACAAGTGCCACACCTTTATGGGAACTTCTGCAACAGATATGGGAAGAACTTTAAGAAGAATATTTGATTTCTAATGTAGAAAGAATGCCACGAGTGTGTTCAGCTGTTATGTCTGCCAAAGGTGGCTACTTTGAGGAGTCGAAAGTTTGGAATACATTTTGGCCCATAAATTGATTCCATGATTTATTTTGTAACTCCCATTGCTTATTTGTACTATGCATTCATTTCAGAGTGCAGTGTGACATTAAACTGCATAATTTCCAATAAAAAACTGAAAAAAATTGGGGCGTTCTAAAACTTTTGATCGGTAGTGTATACATCTTAAATACTGCCCCATTTCATATGCATATGGCAACGCAAATAAACAACTCTAGCATTATTTGAATATAGTTTTTTGAGTAGAAAGTTTATTATCTACAATCGCATCTTTATACTCATTAGTGCATAATCTATTATTGTTTGATCTTTTTTTGCTCCTGAACAAAATGAATTTGTAACATTTGGAAGCATCATATGTTTTGTGACAGTAGTAAAAGCAGCATGGGGCTAAAAGGTTAATAAAAACACACAGCAGATAAAACACAGTATAATGCAAAGAATATAAATTAGTCTTTAAAGCAACACAAAACTGTTTCCTGCTTCTCCCTCCTACTGGTTGCAAGTGGAATTGCAACTGTTGTAAACAACCCTGCAGCAGCCTGTTGTACTAACAATGAGCTAACACTAACAAGAACCAACTGATACTAAATAAGCCATGTGGTAGAAAGATCCACACTGTTGGATGATATATTAATACTAAGTCCAGGAGCAACAAAGTCAGGTCACCATCAGTCTATGATTTTATATCTATAGCTTCCTCAAACGAGTGCAGGCAAGGTCCATCATAATGCCAACAAAAAATGCAACTTGTTTTTTTGACGGTTGGCTAACTGAAAAAGCTAACTGCCAACCTTTTCATTAGCTATCAACACAGTAAAGCCTGGTTTACACTTCTCCGTCAGCTCAATTTTGTCGTACACACGCATTGACCAAGACGTTGTCCCTTCTGACTTCTCTGTTGCCTAGGGTGTGTTGAAAAGTATTTCCCTGCCTGGACAACAGACGGCTTTTCTGAGGGTATCCTTCCACCGTTGCAGTTGTGTATTTGGTCCACGATAATTCACAGACATGCACACATTTTGTGCTCCCACGTTGATTAGCTACAGCCTCGCCCTGTTAAGGGAGATATTTCTTTCATTGACCAAAGGGTACCAACAAGTTTGTCCACGTCTGTGTGTGCTTCTATGTAATCAGGTGTTTTTTGTACCTCTGCTCTGTCCCCTGTCAAGGGTAGGGTTTAAAACAGTCCATTTATTGCTGATGCTTTAGTAATTAAGTTGCAAAAGCTCCTTGACATATTTTTATTTCTAGCTGAAAATCCTTGATTGCCATAGCACTAATATTAACTTCATCCATCATATCTGAAACATCCTGAATTACTTTTATTTGCTTAACATTAAAGGGAAAATGTAATACATTCCTGCAGACGGTTTCCAAACCTGTTTCACAAACTCTTCATATAAAAAAATTGCCGTAGCCCAAAAGCATCATTGGATTTGGTTGATTAATAGTCACATGCAGCAGTGTGACTGCAGTCTCATTTTAGCGAGTCAGTGTTTAGAACAGGGCTGAATGGTGACATAGTTGTCTTGCAGCAAGAAGGTCATAGGATCGAAAACTCACAGTGGCCTTTCTGCTTGGAGTTGCGGGTACTCCATATTCCTCCTATAGACCAGAAACATTCATGCCTAATTATTGACTTTAGATTGGTTGGTTGTATATCTTATTTGTCTCTGTGTGTCCCTCTGATGGACTGTCAACCTGTCCAGAGTGTCCCCTACCACTTGCCCGACAACCACTGGAACTAGGCACCAGCTTCTTGTGACCTCATTGAGGAAAAAGCAGTATGGAAGATGAGTGTCCAGAATAAACTGTAAGAAAAATTGAAGTAGGACAGTGGTCATTGGGTGGTGTTTTGTGCTTGTGTGATGGATTCAGCCATTACAGCATCTTTGTAGAATTGATGTAAAAGTCCACACCCACAGTAAACTCGTGGTATGGTTTATTAGTCATTATATTTGTTGATATTGATGTCTTATCACTGGATAGATGTTTTTTTGAGACTCGTGTTTCCCCCCCATTAATCTAGTTATGATTAATGATCTTTGGTTTGAAGAAAAATAAATACCTAGAAGGATTAACTCATTGCTGTATGGCCTGCCTTGTTATAGTGAGCCCTAGTGGAAGCTAATTTTAGACATTCTACATCTCACATACAAGCAGCATTATATTTAAAGTGATGTACGTACAGTTCATTATTTGAGACAATATGTCTGGTTTCACAACAAGATGAAACAAGATTTCAACAATATTTTTACGATAACTTTAGAGAGAAAAATGTGCTGGAAAAATTGTTTTTGTCACTGCACTTTTGGAGGTTTTCTGGAAAAAGATGAGGTTCTTTGGCCACAGAAATCAATGAATGGTGAAGATGTCTCTGAAGACTTTCACCAAGTTCTGTTGATCAACACCAAACAGTGGTTTACTAGAAAACCCCTGGGATGAGAATTATAGGCATGTTTCAGTATCTCAGGATCTTGATACTCACCTTACTATCAACTATCCTGGTTGAACATAAAGCTTATAGGGGCTTTTTCGCTCAGGTTTACCTCGTAGGTGAAACCAGACACTTTGATGAATTTTTGTTATTTGTCATTGAGCTGAAATAAATGAAAATTCTTAGTCTCTAATCAAAATTTAGAGGATGCCATAGTTCGGTATTTTTTTATATTTTTGTATATCAGATGTTTGAAGTTCTGCTTCAAAAAATGAAAGATGTGGAAAATTAGGAGAAAAAAAGCTTTTAGTCGTTCTTACAAGGAACTGTTGCCTTTTTTGAAAAAAGTTACCCAAAAACATGTCATAGCAGCCTGCATGAGACTTTCAAAAAAGACCACGAGCACAAATGCTCTTTTGTTGATTTTCACATCCTAGAATGGGTAGTTCTGTAACTTAGAAGTGTGTGTGTGATTACTTCCTTAACTTTTTAACCCCTTTGCTGCTGTTTTCTCCACAGTGTATCCAGACCTTTGCAATATTAGCCTGGTAGCTGTGGGAGATATCCAGAAGCATCAAGACCGCATTGCGTTCTGGGATGATGTTTATGGCTTCAACATGGCATGCATGAAGAAGGCTGTGGTACACGATGCTGTAGCGGAAGTAGTGAATGCAGACACGCTAATCTCTGAGCCTACAGTCATACAGGTAAACACCTTGGCATGCCCAATGATAATGCTGCTGTTTTATTTGGCTAATAGGTTGTATTGTGTATCTTAAAAAAAATACTACTAAAAGCAAGACAATCTATAATTTTATAAATTTGTGCCATATTTTCTGTGGATAATTAGTTATTAAAAGTGCCACATGTATAACAAATTAGTAGAGCAAAATGCTTGATCTATTATAAATTTAGCGGTTTGTTTTAAAACTCTTATCTTCTGTATTAATACCTGTAGAGTTTAGTTTTGTGTTAAAGGCTCCTAACTTCAGAATTAGTCTGTAAACAAGCCATTGTTTTATGTACAATTTCTGATCAAACAAACATGAATGAGTCAAAGAAACAAAGTTGAAGCTGACCCTTTTCCAGTTTGTGTGATACAGATGCTGATTGGAGCTCATTGTGTTTGAGAAAATTCTGTTGTAAAGATGCGAAGCATAGTATAGCATATAGTATATACTAGTATAGCAGGGGCGTGGCTGTGGGTGGGCCTGAGTGGGTCAGGGCCACCTACTTTTTACCAGAGTCCACCCACTCAAGTGGCTTCCTTAAAAAAATGTATGTGAATTTATTTTATTTTAGAGGTGTGCCTTTTCAGGCCATTATACAATGAAATGAAACAGAACAAAATTTAAATTATAATATTTATACAATTAAAATAAACTTGGTCATCTCTGAACCAACAGCAAACAATTATTTGAAATATATTTACATTTATTGCTGCTTTGTCTAAAAGTTTCAGAGCATCAACTAATCGTTCATATTTTCAGAAAAGGCACTTGAGCCTTTTTTCCTGCAGCAATGGATTTTGGGTAATACCCTTCGTCCAAGTCTGCATCGATGCAGTCTTGGGTAAAGTGTGGATCAAGGTTGCAAAAGGGGCGTGATCAAATTCTGTGCTTGAGAATCGGGACACCCTACGCACTCGCACCCCTGGTCGGGATTGTGCATTTGAAAGGCGCAAGTGTGGAAATGTGAAAGTTGGGATTGAGCCCATGACAGCGGCGGCCGCTCGTCACTGTGTCTTGTTTTCGGTCTATGTCAGATGACATATTGGGTGCTGTAGCGCGTTGCTTGATGCGATAGCTTGGTGTATGAACAACGGAAGCATTAGTCTGCTTTATGTGTTGTGAGCTTTTTAAACTGCAGAAAATGGCACACTCGTGCCGTGAAGGGCTGCCATGCTATCTTCACAAGAAGTTAAAAATGTTAAATGTAGGCTGAAGTCTCGGTAACCAGATATTTCCTGTATTTGACTGCTTTTTTTTTGATGGAAAAATCTCAAGGCTGTCAACCCTAACCCGACGCATGCAGGTGTGCAGACATTTTAAACGTTACGCATAGAGAACATAGTCAAGGTAACAAAATCAATCAAGAACTTGCCATCAGAACATCTGAGCATTATCTCAGACCTGGACACCATGATCAGAGCTGAGGAGCTCGGAGTGCATCTGTGGGTCACAGGCCAACAGCAGAACCAGAACAAGGCAGGTAAAATGTTGCTACTTTAGGTGAACCTGTTTATTTGTAACATTAATATATTGCTGCACACGCTGGCCAGTATGTTTAGACTAAATATTAATGCAAATGAAATTGTGAATTAGTATTTATTATTATTTGAGAAATCAAAATGACGAGAGGAAACAGCCATGGCCGTTTTTTATTTTATTTGTTTATTTATTTATTTATTTATTTATTTTCGTAAAAAAAAAAAAAGTCTGGCACTACTGTATTGTTTCTGTACTTGCTAACCTAAATTGATAATAACCTGTTTAATTGAGGCCCATCCATAACTGAAAACCTGGCAATATAATCATTGCATATTGGGAAAATTGCAGTGAGAAGATGTTTTGATACATTGCAAGTGGTGCTCGCTGCAGAACCACAAAGGCGGAGCTGCACCAGAAGGTGGAGCTGCACCAGAGTCAGCCCCGCCCATTCCATCAGAGTCAGTCCAATTCCTTCCAGTTGTCAGACTTGATAGCATTCTGGAACCAAAGAGAGTGTTATAGCTAAAAAATGCAAGATTGAGGACGGAGGTGAGAAGTTAACTGAACAGTTTTTGTAAAGGTTCCATATAATTAAAAATCTAACTTTTGGAACTTTTAATCATGTTTTACTGTCATTTCCTCATAAGAAACACGCCAAAGCCATTTTTGGCCTCATTCATGCATTTTCCTCCCATCTCAGCTTCAATTTGGTCTTTTCCCTCGAAGCGGGTCTGGTCTTGGTTCTCAAATCTGGATATTCTGTGAATTTTGGGACAAATTATTTCTGAAATGACTTCTACTGAGACACCGCAAACAAACCATACAACCCATCTCCAAAGACACACTGAGTAGCACAATTGCATAAAACGCCATATGATTTTCATTCGATGTGGTGGTGTAGTGGTTATGGAGTGAGGTTGTCATGCAGTTTTGCGCAGGTTCGCCTCCCAGTAACGGAAGCATTAGGTAGTTTACAATCCCATTTTTTCATTTCTAGCTACACTTGACAGTGCTATGTTTACAACAATTTACTGGTATACCGTTTAACATATGATGACTAATGTGTTTATTTGGTTTTTTTAGCCAGTGTGAGTCCATTTGTGAGCAGAGTTTCAACTAAAATGCTGTTTAGGAACGACCAAATTCAAAGAACTTTTAGAGACATAAATATATGAACATAATTTGCTGAAAATAAACATTACAGCTAAAATATAAACAAATTAAATGCTTCAGTTGGATAAATAGATTGTTGCCTATCCCACCAAGAATCGAACCAGCATCAGCTGAGGGGATAGCAACATTCAGACCAAACAACCTTGCCACTGGACTACCAGAACCACTTTAATATTCTGGCATGCTGTTGTATCACACTTTTGTTAGAGCGGCTGTGGGCAGATATTCGCTAGAAGAAACCTTTTCATTTCGAGATATATTCAGGCTTTGCCATGTAGAAAGTTATATTTATCTTGTTTAATTGGAGCATAGAACATTGCATTAACGACTGTAAACTAGTAACAGCCGTAATTCATGTGGGTCAGGTTAGTTTGCGCTAAAGTTGAAAAACATAAACGGAAGTCAGTGGGCTAGGCTGAATTTGCGTGAATGGGCGGGACTGACTCTGGTGCAGCTCCACCTTATGGTGCAGCTCCGCCTTTGTGGTTCTGCAGCGAGCACCCTCTCATACATTGTGCAGCCCTAGGTATTTTGTTGTTTTCACATAGAAATTGGCTTGGACTAAACAATGTTTTCTCTTGTTGAATGTCCACATAAAATGCCAAATTAAATCTTCCAGTTTTTTTAGCTCTCAGTTTGAGCTGTGACAAGCACAAACATTGACATTTTCAGGACCAACATTCTGATTTTGGTGCTCATGGTGAAAGACGCATCAAAAACAAATAAAAACACACGTACTCTTGATTTTTCATAATGCAAACACTGAAGAGTTAATGTATCATCAAGATATTCCCCTCAAAGAAAAAACACAGCCTTATGAGAAAATGGTTTCACATCTATCAAGACAATTCACTCCTACATTAGACTAATATATTGCCAGGCACTTTGTTGTGTAGAAACAGAGATAGGAGAAATTAAGTTCTCGAGGTTCAAGCTGCTGGTGTGTAGACAAAGAATGAGAGCGGGAGTTAGCAGTGGACCGAGATAGAGCTGTGATGTTTAGGGAAGTGTTTGTGTTGATGCATTTGAGCTGGATGATTGATCTGTCTAATCATTATTTAAGTTCTTCTTAAAGAAACTTTATTACTCTCAGCTAGCTGAGGACAGCACAGTTTTACAGAGCTGATGGGCAAGGACATAAATTGCTCTAAGATAAAATACACAAGCTCGCACGCACACACACACACACGGATAAAACCGTTTCAGATGTACTAAAACATATAAAGTAAAGCTCTTTTGTTTTGGGTTTTGTTGTGTTTCTTCACCAGTTAACCTTCCTGCAAAGTGTTGTGTCCCCCGCCCATCTGAGAGTGTGATGAATGAGGGTAGAACTTTGATGTAATGGAATCTGAGTCCTCTAATCAATAGTTTCTCCCCTCCAGTGACAAATAGACACCCCCTTTACCCAAATTACATGGACTCTCATCTATTGCGTCCCATTGATACGATCCAATAACATTCCATTAAGGCTGGCTGCAATTCCGTAAAATTGAGAGCAGTTCCATGGAATTATAAATTCATTCTGAACAGAAGAGATCAATTTTTTTCATTCAGTGTCAACAGACTGGAATGTTTAACATCAGAAATATGAATTTGTTGCAAGTCTACTGTATAGCTTGTTGGCAGATGTTACTGATAATGAATTCACACGTCTACTACTAATGCATGGAATAACCGGTACACGGTTGATATGATATAAATTTAACCACCAGTAGAGATTTTGACTCTACCGTCTAACCACGATTGTGCATGAATGTTGACAAGCTGCATCAACGCTGGGCGAAACGCAGCAGTGGCTGCACCGCAGTGTGCGTGAATGAAGACGTGCTTGTAAAAAAGACAGGGTAACATCAGTTATATGGACCTGGTTTGGGTATGAGGACTTGGATGTTGAGCAGAAAACATATTCAGTAAAATACGGTGTGCAACAGTAAAGTCTTATCTGTGTTTAATAGCCTGGTAATGCTAACTCCCTTAAATGCTGTAGGTTTTTTAACACACCGTGAACACACAGGCTTCCAAACTGGACAATGTAGTTTGAGCAAATATCCCTCTGCAGTTTTATCTGTTTCTCCCATTTAGTAAAAAGGTCTAGTTTTAAAGCAGCTCCTCCCTCTCTCGCACCGTGTTGCTGGTGCGCACCGCAGTTGGTGAGACAGACGCAGATCAGCTCATCTGAACACAGATCAAAAGAAGGGAACAAAATTGGATAAAGCCTTAAACGCTGTTTAATATAGTCCAGAAAAATGCAGCAAAGCATAATTTTACCTGCAGTTAGACACTTAGCTTCTATGAACAAAAGGAAAAAGTGAAAAATAAATTAA